TGTCCAAAGAACAAACACCTTCAAAGTTGTTCTTTGAAGCCTTCAGGAGAACTTAAAACAGGAACAATTAGGTGAAAGTCTGGCCTCTTATGTAAAATATGGCTCAAGACTTTTGCACAATTTAAGAGATTAAAGAAATCTAAAGAATAAATCAAAATATTAAGTTGCATTCTAACAGAAAAAAAAATGAATAACAATGCTATTCATTCAAACAGGTCTGAAGAAGTAACAACCCAGCCAACAATAGGCTAAATGAAGTTTTACCAGTTTCAGAAGTAACCTCCACATCTGGGTTGGGATCTATGAGGAAGCTTGTGTGCAAGAATATTATTTTTCTGTATTTATTTTCTTTTAAATTGTTTCTACTAGATTAGATTGAAATGGAAGAACGAATGGATGTTTACAGGAAATAGTTTTGGTGATTTGCAGTGTCAAATGACTGAATGGTCAAACCAACTGTAAAGTTTGATCCATGTATTTAACATTTTCAAAACTGAACTTTAAGTTTTTATACTATCATGGGTGAAGAGGTCTCCAACAAACATCATGGAAAGAATGTGAAATTCAACTGAGTTTTATTTAATAGCTCCAAATCAAAGTAGTGGCCTTAATGTGCTTCATATTATAAAGCAGTGGCCTAGGCAGTGGTATGGTACGTGTATGGACTGGTCTCAGCTGGCTCACTGGTGCTAACCGATAGTTAAGTGATAGTGTAGCGTTGACTGCTGAGAGATAAATTCCTAAGTGTACAGTCTGGCGATTAACACATTTGAAATAATAAAAAAAGTTATGAGCATAACTGTATATTTTACATTCCGTCTTTGATGCAGGACTCCATAATGCTCCACTGGAGTGCCTTCAGTCATTTCCTGGCACTGGACACTGACACAAATCCAGATGCAGATTTCTATTTTCTCATCTCTGTATTTCTGTTTCTAATGCAATGGTTTGTTTTTTCTCGCTTTGACAGTGTGACTGTTCCAGAGAAACTGGATTGTTTTATAACCAGATATGCGGAGCACATCCATGAGAAGTGGTGTATAGAAAAGGTATGTATGATTTTTATTCTTCTTCTGTGTTTCCTGATCATACTGTTTTCCCCCTCACCATGACGACAAAAACAGTGTGGTACATACACAGTCTTTCACAGTCACTGATAACAAATGCACCCAATGATTACACATAGAAGAACACACCCCACAGCTATAATATATAAAACATTCTGTTACATATGTATGCTGTTTGGCAAACTTTACGGTATACTATACTTTAAGCCAATGATTGACATAAATGTCAATATACCAGCTTATTCTGCTGATACTTTTTTAGAGAAAGAAATATTTCTTGTAAACTTTGAATAACATTGAGGGGAAAATGTTTGTGTGCTTTTTAAAAATTTCGTAGTGTTTCTTGTTGTCATCACGAAATGTAGCAAAATAGAACTGCTTTTGGTTGCTGTAAAATCTGATCTATAAATGTGAACTTATATTCTGTAGTTTTCCAATGGCTGGTCATATGGAGACCAGATGTGTGAAATCAGCAAGAGCCATCCACTCCTGAAACCATACAAAAGCCTGTCTGAAAAGGTAGTCTGCATGCAGACATCTTTCTGTGGAAGTTGGGAGCTTTCTATATTTTACAAAAGATTTGTATAGTTTGTGTGAGTGCTACATTTGGGTCAGTGATAGCTTAGTAATGATGAAAAACAGCATGGCATGAATCTGTATTGAATCACAGGTAGCTCTCCTGGCTGGACAGCTACCTGTGTTTACAGTTTGCTGAAATACTACACCAAACTCATACCTGAAAACTGAATGAGTCAGTTTTTACTCCTTAGCAGTAAAAGGCTGATGGGGTGTTGTCGTCACCCTGGTGGCTGAGCGTAAACACCTACGTTTGTGAATGCAGTAACTCAGAAACGTAGGAGCCTCTAATTGATACCACAGGTAAAGATGTGAGATGAGTTTGAATCTCACTGACCTCACGGTCAGAGGTTAGGTTTTCTGAAATTGATACTACAGGTGCATTTACTAAAAATGTCAGAGGAGATAAAATCTCAGTGACCTCGACCTCAAGGTCAAAGTGAGTTTTCTGAAATTGTTGTGAATGAGGTGATGTAGGATTTTGAAATGATACCATCGGTATATCTGCTAAAAGGCTGAGGGGTGCCACTTTTCTCTTCTCTTTCTTTTACTTTAGATATTTATTTACATACACTTCATCTCCATTGTGTTATATAATATTTGTTGCAAAAGAGAAACGTATCAGTTTTATTATTTAATAATTACAGTGGCTTGCAAAAGTATTGGGCCCCCTTGAACTTTCCCACATTTTGTCACATTACAGCCACAAACATGAATCAATTTTATTGGAGTTCCACGTGAAAGACCAACACAAAGTGGTGTACACGTGAGAAGTGGAACGAAAATCAAACATGATTCCAAACATTTTTTACAAATAAATAACTGCAAAGTAATCAAATGAGATTTACTAATTGAATGAATGGAAATGTATCAGCTGATGTGGGCACAGACATGTGAGCAAATGATCCTGCAGAAGATCATGTGTTGGTGTGTCTGAGTTCATGCTTTGTTCGGGTTTTGCAGTACATCTGAAAGCAAACTGTGACTTTGCAGGATAAAGAGACATACTGCTGGCCCATCAGAGAGTCTCTGAAGACCATGCTTTCATGGGGTTGGAGCATTGACAGGATCAGAGAGGGAGACTCTGTCAACCTTCACAACAAGCCCAGAAGGATATCACAGGCCAGTCAGGTGTATATGAACGCCACCCATTCTTACATTTGTTCCCGAGGTACTTATTATGGATCAAAGGGAAAGGTGACATCATATATAATGCTGTGTGTTCAATCTCCAACAGCTTTCTTTTGAAGGAGCTTCAGCTTTCAGTCCAAGACCCACTGATATGAGTAATGTGACATTGTCCAGAGACTTGCAGGTAAATTATTCACAAGAACACAATGCATGCAAAGCCAGATTACTCATGGGAGCTGATAATGCAGATTGATTGATGGATGAATTGATCAGTGCAGTGTAAAAGAGTCACATGTCAAACATTTACTTCTCCAGTCAATGGCAGAGCTGCTTGCAGAGAATTATCATAATATCTGGTCCAGGAAAAAGAAACTGGAGCTGGAAGCCAGAGGTAAATCTTACACAGCAAACACACACACAGGGTGTTCCTTGTTTCTCTGCCATCACAAACAGATAACACAGAAAGCTTGACTTCTTTTTTATGCATAGCCTGTAAAAATAAAACAGATGGAATTCTGCGAAGTGCTGTTTAGAAGATCAATACCATTTCCCCATACTTCGGCTTTACAGTTGCTGTTATAGCAACTTTACCCAACCCTTTGATTTTTGTTGCATATTAACTGAAGTGCCGTACAGTCATTTTGGCATGGCAGTTTCTCTGTTAGAAGCTTGTCCATTTTGGTGTTTTGTTATTAATTATTTTATTTTTTGCTTTTAAATTAAACACAGCATGCTTGTACAGATTCAACTGAGGACATTTACTACATTTAGCATTTGTGAACTTATAAGCATGAAAAAAGAAAAAGAAGGAGAAAAAAAGAAGAAGAAAAAATTATAACAATATTAAGTAAATAAAGAGTAAAATAAAATAAGAAAATTCACGCGGAGTGTGAGGCATGAATTATGATCAGTTAATTTTTAAGAATTCTAGAAATGGCTGCCAAATCGTACAAAAACCCGCCAGTTTCCCCTTTCTATCAAATCTTATCTGCTCCACCCGGGCCACAGACACCATCTCATTAAGCCACCTGTTAAAACACGGGGCCGAAGAAGACCGCCACTGTAAAAGAATACGTTTCTTTGCAGCCAGCACACCCATTGTAATTATCTGTTTTTGTGAAAAGGAAAAAGATTCGATTGATGCAAATGATCCAAGTATAGCCAGTGTACCATCAAGTGGTACTTTTTTCCTAAATTGGTTTGAAAACCACGTAAAAATCTGGCTCCAAAAAGCTTTCAAGACAGGGCAATGCCGAAATAGATGTGCAAGGGAACCTTCACCGACTTTACATCTGTCACATAAGGGGGATACAGAATTATAGATCCGGTTAAGTTTAAGTTGAGAAAAGTGTAGTCTATGAATGACCTTAAACTGGATTACTTTATATCTGGCGTTTACTGAGCCTTTCTGAATGTTGGACAAACAGTTTGACCACTGGTCCTCAGACAGGAACACCGAGGTCTCCAGCCCGTGTATTCTTAATTCGATCAGAATCAGCTGGGATTGTAAAGCACTTCACAAACTGAGATATCAGATGTTTAAAATCTGCTTTCCGAATTATATCAGTATGACTTAGTGGCTTCAGTGGAAAGTCTGAAAAGTTTCGATGAACAAAATTCCTTATTTGAAGATAGCGAAAAAAATGTGATTGAGGTAACTGAAACTTCTGTTGAAGTTGAAGGAAAGACATGAATCTGTCATCTATATATATGAGTCCTCAATGCATTTCAGTCCCTTTCCCCCCATTCTAAAAACACCCTCTCCATTTTACCTGGTTTAAACAAGTAGTTATGTATTATTGGCATTCTTACTGAGAAGTCCGGTAGTTTAAGAGATTTCCTAATTTGACTTAATATCTTTAAGGAGTGTTTAACAACAAAATTACAACTGATCGAATTATTAGAAGAACCTGTGTTAGAAAACAATAAGCCCGGTAATGAGGCTTCAGATACTGTTGCTGCCTCTACCTGGAGCCAGACAGGAAGCTTATCATAACAATAATCAGTAGGCGAACCCCACTGCCAGTGCAATAGAGCTCTTGAATTTGCTGCCCAGTAATAATGTCTAAACACAGGGAGACCCAACCCCCCCACTGAAAGTATTTTTTTGAAGATGAGCCTTGGATATCTGAGGGGGTTTTCATGCCCAGATGAAAGAAAGAATCAATGAATCAAGCTGCTTAAAAAATTTAAGTGGCAAAGAAATATGAAGGTTTTGAAAAAGATATAAAAATCATGGCAAAGACACCATTCTAACTGAATTTATTCGACCAATCAGAGACAGAGGAAGCAGTTTCCATTTTCTAATATCGTCTTTGAGCTTGTCCAGCATTTCCAAGAAATTCGATTTATAGAGGAGTTTGGGATTTTTAGAGGTCTTAAGGCCAAGGTAGGTAAAAGATGTAGTCACTAATTTGAATGGGAGTGAGCTGAGGAACTTTGGGCATAGATGATCTGTTATTGGCATAAATTCAGATTTGTCCCAATTGATTATATATCCTGATAATTTCCCAAAGTGTTTAATGCAATTTAAAAGATTAGGGAATGAAATTTCTGGTTCGGAAAGGCAGATCAGTAAATCATCTGCATACATATTAACAAGACTTTCAACATTCCCAAATTTAACTCCCTGTATACCAGGGTGGTTTCTTATGTTAATGGCAAGGGGCTCCAGAGCTATATCAAAAAGAAGCGGTGAGAGGGAATCCCCCTGTCTCACTCCACATTGTAATTGAAAGGGGGAGGATTTATCTGCGTTGGTGAGAATGCAGGACACAGATAAATCATTTTAATCCAATCCCTAAAATATTCCCCAAAACCAAATTGTTTTAGAGTCTCAAATATATAAGACCGTTCAATCTGATCAAACGCTTTTTGAGCATCCAGAGAAAGTACTGCTGTTTTAGCCTCTTTTCCATAACCTGAGTAAATTGTATTTAATAATAAACGGACATTATTAAATGACCATCTACCAGGAATAAATCCTGTTTGATTAGGATGTATAATTGTTGAAATATGTTTGCTCAATCTTGTAGCTGAGGCTTTGGTTATGATTTTATGATCACAATTTAAAAGAGCAACCGGTCTATAATGTGCTGGGTCGCCTTCCTCCTCTCCAGTTTTGTGAAGCAAACAAATATTTGCCTCGTAAAGTGAAGTTGGTAACCTTTTATTTTTAACGGAGTCATTTATCATCCTGAGCATGAGAGGAGTAATTTTATTTTGGAAGGCTTTATAGAATTCATTACCGAATCCATCCGGGGCAGCTGTCTTTCCAAGTGGTAAGGCTTGGATTGTTCTTAAAAGATGGTTTTCGGAGACAGGGGAATCAATTTCATCTCTCAGGGATTCATCTAATTGGGGAATAGATAATTGATCGAAGAAGTTGCTAAAATCACTTTGAGAGGGTTTAATTTTACTAGAATACAGATCTTTATAGAATTTGGTAAAACAAGTATTAATTTCCTTTGGATTAGTACTTACTTTACCGGATTTTATTATGACTTTTTGAATTGCATTTTGGTGTTTTGAATAGATGAAAATTCGATCTCAAAGTTGTGATGGACCACCAGTAACCTGGTAGATGTTAAGATGTCACATAGTTAAGTGCTGCCACAGTCTGTTATCTTTCTTCTCCGCCCTGCTGCTCTGTTCCAGGTGGAGGAAACCACCCACTGCTGGTTCCTTATGACACATTGACTGCCAAAGAAAAATCCAAAGACAGGGAAAAAGCACAAGATATCCTTAAGTTCCTCCAAATCAATGGTTACATTGTGTCCAGGTTGGTCCAACTATATTTGAAATTTTTAACATGCATAGATAGTGGGTGCATAACAGTTTGTCTTTGGCATTTGTTTTGAGATTAGAAGATCAATTTCATAAAAGTTCAATTTTTCTAAAACGTCTAACTCAGAAAATACAACAGTAGTGTGTGTAGTCCAGCGCTGGAGTGTGGATTTGATTTAACTCAACAAAAGCAGTGTACAACACAAGTTGTAGAAATGCAAATAAAAGGAGAATATCCTTTGTGCTGATTCCAGAGGTGTGCAGTCACAGGAGCTAGACACTCCTGCCATAGAGAAACGATTTGCCTACACCTTTCTCCAGCAGATCATCACCTACGTGGACCAGGCACACCAACACATGATGGAGTTTGGTAAGAATCTTCTTATGCCTGTAAGAGCCACTTGTTTACATCACCAACCTGGTTGTTGTCCATGATACAACAACCATGATACTTTTGCCTCATTCGGTGAAACAAGTTTGTCATCCTCTTTTAGCAGGAACGTTTTTTGTTTTTTCCATATTTTGCTAAGTACAATGCTTTGAGGAGGGTGTGGAAGTAGCTCTCTCTTTAGATACTAAATTGTCACTGGAGGCTAAAACAGTCTTGGGGTCTTGCTCTGAGACATTCCCAGATTTTTCTCTTTTGTTTTTCACACTAGGAAACGTGAAGGCATGGTGTTGTTATAGCACTGATATAGCAATATGACGCTTTTTTT